CATAGATACTTCTCTTAATAAAGTACATTTTAACCTTCCCACATTGTAGTTTAGACTTTTTTTTTATTGTCTGACACATGTATGATGTGTTTTGTTTTTGGCCTTGTTATCTGAAAAGTTCCTTTAGATATATGTATATATATATATATTCTTATTGTTTTTTGATATGTTTATAGTATAGGCAAAAAAGATTGTGTTCTCTCAGATGTTTTTGCAGAAAGTGAGTTTTAAACCATTTTTAGTTATGATAGTTATGGAACTATAGCTTTGAAACTGTAGATTATCATCAAGGCCTGCCCCAGTGGTTCAGCAGTAAGCTTCATGGCTTTATACAACACTAAAAGTCAATGGTTTCATTACCTGTGTTGGGCACAGAATAGATAGCTCACAATGTAGATTTGAGCATAAAAAACAACATGATGTAAAATTTGATTATTATTTTTATTTAGAAGAATTAGACTATAAGTTTGTTCTTAGATGCAACTGAGTCACAAATTTTAAACTTCATATTTTTTTGGAATAGTTTATTTAGTCAAACATAAATCTTCTTTGTTGGTAACAAGGAGTCTTTTAAAGTTTTGATAATGATAATTTGATTAATTAAGTTTTGTTTTTTTGACTACCAGGAAGTTGTCATGATGAGGTAGAAGTAGTTATTAAGAAGAATTATTTGCTTTCTATCTGTATATATGCACATCAACTGCTTAAAACTTTTGAGATGAAGGTGGTCCTGTTGAAAAATAAACTATTTTAAACACATTAGTACTTAGTAAGTATATATATTTTTAAATGATACAAATTTATTAATCAGAAAATTATGTGTTTCATAAAGTGCTATTCAAGAGACATTAATTAATTTACTCGTGCATACATAAATTTAAAGACTTTAGTGGAGATAAGATTAACCCTATTGTCCCGGGTATCCTTTACTGAGCATGACAAAAGATTTTACTGTCTTACATTCAAAATTTTATTACACATCATTTTGTTAAAGTTATACCAATTAGAATAGCATAAAATCTTAGTTAATAATCCATATTTTAATAGTATACAAGTTTTAAGTTTTTAATTCTACAAGGGAATATAAAAAAAATCCTGAATTTCCATTAGTGTGACATGCAAGACACATTTTGTGTTAGTATGTCATCATCTCTATTTTATCCATCACCCCTCGAAAATGTATGAAATTAAACGTAATTACTCTCTATAACATCGTCATTGCTCAGACAAACCAGAATTTTTATAGTGTTCAATTTTGTTTGGTTACAGAGCTATCAATTAGAAAATCAGACACCTCTTGCCACACCCACCTGTCACGTCCTGTTTTTCAGAATTTATTGATAGTACTCTCTTGTGTTTCATTATATATTACCTATAACCAATAGAAAGTCAAGGTTTTCATCTGTCAAGTGATGTATTGTATAATGTTATGTTCTGAACAGTTAGAAGTCAGTTTCACTCAGAGTAGCAACATCGTTCCCATAGAAAAGTTAACGACTAGCTTGGATGAACTTGTAACAGCTCTTGTCGCATAGTTAGAAAGCCAGAACAATTTTGAGAGGTAAGTGAATTTGTCTACTTTTTGCATATTATTAGTCTATATTCTTTGATGCATTATTTAATTAAATAAAAATTATTAAGTGCATTACTCTTAGTACTATTAAAAATTAGTTTCAACTGTCATCAACAATTGAGAGCAACAAAAACGAAGATTGGGTAAGTACTTTATTTCTTATTTTTCATACTTATTCTTTATTTAT